GAGTCATTTTCTCATAGACTTCTATACAACCAGAGGAGTCGCCCCCTAGTGGTCAGTAGAGAGAATGCAGGTTTTAAGAAACGTTTGCCTTGGCTTCACTGGGCAGAACCGGAGGTTACCGATTGGTCGCACCGCTCGTCAATGTCACACTAGACCCAGGGCAGCCAATCAAATCCAACAAGAGGCGGGGTTAACTTCTTTACCACTGCCTTCTTCATGAAAAGAGGATCTTATTATAGCCTCGTCACTCCGAGGAGATATAGAAGAGTTAATAAGTAAATAAGTGGTTCAAATTAGTAAAATGATTTAAAGCTGCTGCAGAGCTTCGACATCTCATAATGTTATTGGATGCAGAAGGCGGCTGCTGACTGGTTAGCTCAGCTTAGCTGTAACGTCAGCATCAAACATTAACAAGTAACGTTAGCTAACTGCTAACGTTAACATTTCCCCGATGCTGCGTCTGTACGTGAGACTCTCGTCACTAAATACATTTTCATCCTGTTCGGTTCAGCTCCGGGACAACTGGACGTCCTTAAACTCGAGGGTGCAAGTGTTTTTGATCGCTTCACTGCTTTAAACCTCCACATTAAAGCGGGCAGAACATCTTCCTCTGAAGGGATGAACATCCTCTCCTGGCTCTGATTCGTACCTCCCCTCAGAGAGAGAACCTTTAATCATGTCACTGCTGAGTTCATACCGCCACATGATGTGTTTTTGTCTTTCTTTGACCACTCAAAACTCTGTCATCCTCTCTGTATTCGCCCCCACGCCTCTCTGAGTGATCACCCCATCCCTCAGTGGATCAGACCCTCAGATTATTATTACTCTGCCTCCTTCGTCACATTATCCATCTTCAGTTCTGAGGATGAAAACCCAATCATGCTCTCTTACATTCGCTGTTACGCCTCCCTCGGCGTTCGCCCCTGTCCCTCCAGGGTTCAAATCCCCAGATTATACCGGCTCCCTCTGTCACATCATCCATCTTCGCTGTGAAAAAAACCCCCAATCAACCCCCCCCCCCCCCTCCCTCTCTCTGCATTCCCTGTCGCTCCTCCCTGGGCGATCATCTCATCCCTCACTTGCTAACAGGAACCATTCATCATCAGCGGGGTGTGAGAGGGCCCCGTCGTTTAGAAGCCCCAGAACGTCGTTAGCCTGTGCTAATGTGTGTAATGTGCTGCGCTGGCGGGGACGTGATGGGACGCAGCTGAAAGACGAATGTCTTGAATTTAACGTTTCCTTCCTCGCTGAACGTCGAGTGTTTGTTCCCGTAATGCACTTGGCAGCAGAGTAAAATCATTAGCCTCTGCTGAAGCATTCACAGCGGGCGATCAGTCAGGTTTAACAAAAGGGAAAGGAGCACTTCCGACATATTTCTGTCTTCAGCTCCGCAGTAAAGCAAATGGATGTTGAGCATTGAGCTACCAGGACAGGTTCCTATCGCGTTTAGCTCCCCTGACGTTGTGCGGCGTGTAATGAGCTGCACGGAGACGGAGGGTCGGTGGAGGTAGAAAGAAGGCACCTGAGATTTAATGCATTTACCGGTTAATGGAGGTGCTGCTTTATCAACATGGTTTTTGGCGGGAGGCTGATGCAATTACAAAATATTTTCCTCACAATTAAAAAGAAAATTACAGCCAAGTTCTCGCAGTGTAACTCCAATATCACAGACAGACTTTTAATGGCTCAGGTGGATGAATCTCATTCACAGAATGACTGAATCATTCAGCATCTCACTTTCATCTGAACATGTCTGCTAATCTGAATTCAAGTTCACTCTTTGAAGAAAGCATCTTTCCCCCCTGATTAAACCAAATCAAATAATACTGAGAGATCTCTAATGATCATGTTTCCCCCCCTCGTGTCTCCAGGGGTTGACACTTCCTGATAGACTTTAATCCTTTTCATTCATGTTGGTGCCAAGAAGGAGACCGCCCCCTCCATCCAGCTCCACTCCCCCTCTGGCAGCACTCCTCACACATTTTGTTCAGCAGAAGACAATGAATAGCTAACAAGTTTCTGTTCCGCTTGAATAGCAAATGTTTGTTTCAGGGAAATGAGGGTTTAGCTTAAAGCAGCCAGTGTGGGTGGAGATTCATTCATCTAGAATGAAGTCGTCCTCCAAGGAGCCTGGCAGGGTGAGGGTTTCATACAGCAGCACAAACACACCTGGTGGATGTCAGACCAATATTTACTCTCCTCTAGCTTTATTTCTCTGGTCTCTACTGACTCCAACTCCTTTATAGTGAACTTCTTTGCCGTTCTGGTTCACTCTCACGTCGTAGTTTTTCACAATAAAAGCTGTAAAAAGCCACTGTTCAGTACCAGCACAGCAGACAGACTCAGACAGACACTAGCTGCTGAACAGAGTGGAGCATTTAGCTCCCTGAGGAGGGGGTGGAGACCAAAACCAGAGCTAAAAGAGAGAGAATATTGGACTTTACATTCATCATGTACAAATATGCAACGTTTAACTGGCGTTGGACTAATGTTCAACATACCAAAGTAAAGGTTGATGATGTGTCAGTGAAAAGGTTTGAATCAGGAGAATAACTGAGTGAATTAATGATCGAAACAAACATGACTCACGTGTTCGTCCCATGCGCACCGCCGGAGGTCCGTCTCCATCGGGGTAAACTGGAGTGACGGCGATTTTGTACTCGGTATCGGACAGCAGAGGCTGCAGAACCAGGCTGTACTGACCCGTGGGCACCATCCTCTGTGAGCAGAAACAAATTCAAGACAACCATTAGCATTCGGGTGATGCATTTTGGGTAAAAAGCCTGCTAATGGAACTAGTCCCATGAGTACATGCCTCTCGGCATTAGGTTGCCTTTCAGTTAAGAGATTGATGCTGATTCTTAAAGGAGCATTGAGACTAAACATAGAGAAAGCAGCTGAAAGACTCTGATGAGGGATATTGTCAGGAGAACATGTGGATAAATACATGTACATGACTACGTACGCCGCCCTGAAGTGCATAAAGTTACAGGCATGTATCTGTATGGACCTATGTATTGGATGTATTTAGATATGTTTATAAGCAGAGGTATTTGAGAATGGTCACATCCACATATGTATAAATCTGAAATAAAAACTCAATATATATATATATATATATATATACACATAACATATATTATATTATCTTTGTTTTGGATTTTGTCCTGATGCAGTGTGTGTTTCTGCAGC